CATTTTTTGAATCGCAATTTAAACTCGCTGAAAATCACAAACATGTTTGTAATTTTGTAAGGCATGCATATTTGTTTAAACCATCGGCATATAGGTTTATGCGCGAAATTGGAGTAAATTACTAGTACCTATACATCACGACCAAAAATTGGATAATTGCACATTGCACACAATGCGCTTTAAAGTTGTAAGAGATAAATCGAATAATTTAATTATGAATGAAGAAGGGAGCATTCCATATATGCAGGCTTATTCAAATTCGAGAGCCACCATGGGGATCTCGGGAACTGTAAGAAATAGAGGTTGGCAAAGTTGAGTAGTTTGATACTTAACAAAATGTCGTTTTGAAACTGAAAAAATTCCGACTACTTTCGGAGATATCCAGAAAAAAATAACATTTTACAAAATCGTTTTTATTTGTTACCTAAGTTATTTAAAAAGATATTTCAAAACAAACGGCACATAATTGTGACCACTTTTTTCCATATACAAGATGCTAGTTTTAAATTTTTAGTCTGACGTTTCTTCTCCGGTTAACCATCATCAGCTTTGTTTTTTCTTATGGAAGTCATTTTTACTTTTTGTGTCATTTGATAGAGCTTTTTCCTATCAATAAATGGTGCTGTTAATCCGTAAAAACGCAAGAAACTGCGAACGTACACTGCCCACGACAAAGTTGCCAGACAAAAAAAGAAGATATTTTAACAGTATTACTTCAGCCTCCCTTTGACGAATGTCAAATTTGAAATACTCGGCGAGTAATAACTTTGTAGTGAAATTGTTCCACACGAAACTTCTCTTCGAATCTAATTAGGGTACATTATTCGTATACTAATAATTAACACAAGTATCTCTATAACCTATAACGATTTCATTTGGACTTGTACTGACCCCTTCATATGCGGTTTATGAAGGCTCCAAAACGGCACGAACGATTTGCTCGTCTCCTAGTAGATTGCTGGCCATCTAACCCTGCCTTGCAACACTATAACCACAGATATACGTCGTATACGACGTATATGTATCTGTGCTATACGTTTTTCACCTATACAAATCTTAACTCTTTCCTTAAAATGACTATACTTATGTGGTGAGTTTATTAAATTTATTAAATGTAACAATCTGAAAATAAAAACTTGTCATAAAGCAGGTACAATTTATGGATAAAAAATATTTACTCAAGGATCCAGTGAATATGCATTTAATACTCCAATCTTGATTTTCTATAGGACAATTCAATTCATCTCGTATAGCAGGATGTATTTAAACTGCAGAAAGGTTGCCATATTTTTATTGAAATGTACAAAAAGAATACAAAACGGTTTTCTCAAAATTCACTCAAATTAAATTTGACGTGTGGTTTCCAGGCAAATTGCGCGCTTATGACAAATGCGCATGCCCGATCAACATGTTTGTGATTTTCAGCGAGTTTGAATTATGATTAAAAAAATGGCGACCGCTTGCAAACAGTTTGACAATTAGCAATCCGTTCAGTAAATATGCTTATATAAAAAGCGCAAACGGTTTGCAAACAGTTGGTTCTGGTGAACGCACCCAATGATTTTTATAAGCAAACATCAAGTGACATTTCCATGGCAATCGTGAGGTTACCAACACCCAGCCCACTTTAATTAGACATGTATTCGAGTATAACGTCAATATGATTTTATTGTATTTCCTATTTTTAAATTATACTGAAGGTATAATAAAAAATACTATAAGATACACGTGTATAAATGGTTTTTCAAGCACTTGCAACGTTAAAGGCACTCCGCTTCGCGTCGTACCATTAAACTCGTTGCGCGTGCTTTAAAGACTTGATTATACACTTGTATCTTAATATACTATTTTTTCAAAAATGCGCTAAAACTTCTAATAGATATGTCGTAGTCTTTTAGTGAAATCCGTCATTTCACGAAACGCCTATTCATTTATATGAATCTGCTGCATAGTGTTGGTACTTTCTAGGGCCAAGCGATTGGATTCCCTTCCTCTTCGAGATCGATAAATGGCATCCCTTATCGATCTAGAAGAGGAAGGCAAACTACCACTTGCGTCAAATTATCGTCCTTTCACTAAATTATTAGGCCTCGCAATAGGGTTTTCGTGAAATGATGGATTTCACTAAAAGACTACGACATATACACCTACATAATAGGCGAATAAAACTTAAAAATAAGAAGTTCCAATATTTCTGAATAGATCTTTAATGAAAAATTATCATGTTATTTCAATGAATGGATGTTATCAATTGATTTGGGTAAGATAATCATGAACTGGTGAAATCCACAAATGCTAGAACTTTCAAAAAGATACATAAACTAAAGCACGCCAGAAAACTTCCATTTAAAATACTACAGAGAAAAATATCAATATTGAAAAGTAAAAACAAAATCAGTCAATACTTTGAAGGAATTGGTGAATGTCCCAATAGAAAAAACACCTAAAAAATATTAGGGTAGACAACAATAAAGATAGTCAAACATAAAAAGCTACTGAATAATGTAACAATCAACAGATAGATGAGATATATCTGCATTACTACTTATTTTATAAATATAGTTATTTACATAAAAGTCAGGAAAATCACACATTACTGTCGAGGAAATATTGAAGTACGAGGGTCGAGGGCCCTTTGGGACCGAGTACTTTATTTTCCGAGTCAAGTAGTGTCATTTTATTGACGAGTTGTTGTATTAAAATTTACCGGAAATCGTATTCTAATATAAAATTTCAATTTTCATATAGAACTTTTGATTAATGTCAATCTGTCAGTGATTCCAGGAGTCTGCCTGTGCCATCTAAAAAGCATGAATGGGGGTTACGTTTGGCATTTTGTCTTGAATGGCGGTCGTGAACATCGTATTTGTGTTTTGTATGCACACATTTTATATTTTTTGTGTGTTTAAATCTTTGTTTTTGAAATTTAGTTGGTTTAAGTGTGGTGTCACACTATGCGTTTTTACCGCTCCCGCTAAAACGGATGCGGTTTGACGGGATGCTAATATCACACGTTATTAAATGGTACCAGTCACATATACGCGGTTTAGCCGCACCAACAGGATGCATCCGCATCTTAGTGTGGTGTCACACTATGCGTTTTTACCGCTCCTGCTAAAATGGATGCGGTTTGACAGCATATGATGCGGTTGCATCCTGGTGCGGCGAAACCGCATATATGTGACTGGTACTATTTAATAACGTCTGATATTATCATCCCGTCAAACAGGAGCGTTTTAGCGGGAGCGGTAAAAACGCATAGTGTGACACCACAGTAACCGCAATGCAGAATCACATCACATCGTTATGCTAATGTTTGTAATTGTTTATGTGGAAATTACCGATTTGTTTGATGTGTGTACTGACTTGTTGTTGGTAAATAACAATTTTCTCCGTGAATGAAGCAGTCACGGGGGTGGTAAAAACGGTAGTTAAAATTGAGTTACGATACCTAATTCGACATTCAACTGTAGGCTCGAAACCCCGAAACCAGGGGCGGGTTACCTATCTTGCAGGAGCGGAATTACGGTAATCAAAGCTCTTCAGGTTAGAATCTATGTGCGATAAATGAGGGGCGATTCAATAATTTCCACATATTTTGTTTTTAGTTAAATTTGCCTACAAGGCCATGTAATGTTTCATCTTGCTTTTAATAAAAGGACTTTATTGAACCAAAAATGAGTCACATCCTGTGTATTTCACCCTTGCTTAGAATCTTGGTACCCGCTTACCTGACCGATAATTTATTCTCAACACTTGTTTTTAACCTATTGTTACCTCTTGAAGTCTACATGCTACTTTTTGTGATGTTATACCTACTTTTATGTTACGCATTCACATCATTACAAACAATTAGTTTTACAACACAATTTTATATTAATTTGACGGCTGTTTTTTTTATTGGTAAGTTCTTCTTTTCCTAGCCTATTTCTATTCTTATTCGGTGAACTACCATTTTCAAAGTTTATATGTATTTGAAATGCAATTTATTTCGACTTAAATTTCCGAGCTTTTACAATTATAATAATTACGATCATTATTAAACAAACTTTTCACAATTTCAGTGTTTTATTTTACGTTCCTTCCCTACTATGCTTCAGGTCAAAGCGTTGTCTACAACTAACGTAAGGGGGCCCTGCCTTAGATGTTTAATGATCACGTGCCACTTTTCAAATTTAAGCTGGATCTTGTTTAGTTTTCTAGGAAGTAGTCATTCGGGTGGCCATTTTTAAACGTTGCCGGGTTGACTTTATTTCCGTGTTCTTGTTGGGGGTTAAGTACACTACAGTTTCATGACGATTTTGGGTAAACAATATTACAGTATTATATTTTTTGGAACTTGTACTACACTATTTACAGCATTCTGCACTTACCTACGGGTTTTTCCTTCTGTCAATTATTGCTGTTAAAATCAGGTAGTTTTACCGGCAAGAACTAAAGAATGTGTTAACGATGACTGGAAAATGGAAAATGCATAGATACGGTTTTTACGTTAATCACCTTTTTACTGAAATTTTAGTCAGTCATGAAAGACTTTTTTCTGTACAGTTTCTTCTACCAAATTTTCTTCTAGGTTCCTTTGTCCTTAGTACACACAACTATAGTGTATCTGTTTGAATTTGAAAACAATTCCAATTGGGGCGAGTGTCCCTGGATACACCAACAAAACAAATGATTGAGAACCTAATTTAACACTTCATAAACCGTGATATGTAATGAGATGCATTCAAGAAAATTGGTAATACTAATTTACTGATGCTACATTATGAATCTGCAAGATTGTGTACACAAGTACATGTCATTAACGCACATCTTCTAATGTTTCGGTGGCTTATTAATTTTTTTACCGTTATCAAAACATTTACGAAATTAGGCAAATGCCATACTTCAGTTGTATCCTGTTCGCAGTATTTACTTAACGTACGCGTATAAAAGAAATATTTAGCACTTGTTCCTCTTAGTTGCCACTTACCAGGTTTGGGTCTCAAAACTCTTTAAACATGCACGTAAATTACTTTGTAATTTTCTCTTTAATTGTCGGTATCGAATGTGCGTTTTTTGATTATACGGACGTCTTCTCGGATGATCTGTATCAATACTGGGATAAAAGTAAGTGTCTTCGCAGGCTAATTAAGTGAAATAATAAGTATGTTTTTAGATGCCAGGATAGTGAATCAAAATCGGGAGTGTCGCGCTGACGGTGACCAACAGTTGGTTGGGGTTTGCAAAAATATCGCAGAATGTGCTTGGAGCGGAGGCGTTTCACGAAGATCCACTACTTGCGGTTTTCTATCCCAATGTTGCACTCGTAAGTTTATTAATCAAGTGTCATCGTTACAAGGATACTCGTATAATGTTTTCCTTTAACTAGATCGCCAAAGTTGCAACGGGAGAACCTCCGCAAAGGTATCGTACTTTACGAGCAACCAGCAAACAGCAAACAGTTGCGACTACACCGTTCAACTAATGAACAGAAATATTTGCCAGTTAAGGTATGACCTCTTTTACCGTAAGTATATTATTATTTACCAATTCAATTAGCTGAGGTGATCTCAGCAGTGTTTGGTGTCTGAAGTGGCTGCAGCTACTGTTGGTATACGCCAAAGACAAACAGATTTAAATGATGCGAAGTTGATAGTGTCCTAATTTATGAGTTGACCAGACCCACAACGCGCATTCATTTGTTTCCCCATTTATAATTGGGTCATTTGAAATTGTGAAAAACTAAATACAAGTAGCATATCGATCACAACACATCACAATCACAATGGCGCATTCCTTAAAAATCGACTCTGCGGAGATTTAATATTTGAGATGGTGACTAATTATTTTTAGCGCGTTTTTGAAAAAAAAGTTGGAAAGTACTCGATGCGTCGAGCTACTTAAGCGCGTTTTTGTGCGACGGATCGAGGACTTATTAACGCTAAAATATAATCTGCATGCAAAGAATTGTGACACAAAGCCAATGCTTCAAACCGAAGCATTCTACGATCATTCCTTCGAGAGTTATACTTAAAAAACCATTGCAACTCCGATCGAAGGACCGAACAGCCAACTATAAATAAATATATAAATATAAATAAACCTCCATTTTTTTAAAAAACGCGCTAAAAAGTAGCGCCATTTGCGTTATATTATAGTAGCGCTTACATATTCACTTGTCTGTTCGGTCGGCCGACTGCAAAGGCTTTTTACTCGGTTTTTTATCGCAAAGAAGTTGGGGGCGCTATTGCAGCCGCTTTCTCTGTCCGTCCGTCTGCCCGAGGCCTTAACTACTCCTACAATTTTCAACATATTAGTTCGTTCTTTTTGCATTCGGTAGCGTATAGCTCTGGCACCTGAGCCAAGTAATATCTTGACCATTAAACTGCACATGCGCAGACTGCGCAATGCCATTTCTTAATATATTTTGTTGAAATTTTAACCACATATACTTCTAGTAAAGAAAACCTATCGTATCGCATATTGTAAACATCATATTAGTGTGCGCATGGGCAGGATGCGCAACATCAACTGTCTTATTTATCGAGATATTTTTTGAAATTTTATCACAGATGCTTCTGTTAAAGGCAAACATATCTGATATTTCAAACATTAGATGGGCGCTGTCAGTGCAAACTTCCTTATTTATGAAGACTTATGCGCGAACTGCGCAACGTCGCCAAGTTTTTTATTTATCGAAATATTTATTTGAAATTTTAATCCTATATGCCTCTATTAAAAAACACATAGCGCACATAGGCTATGACCTTTTGGGAAGTACCTACTGGTCATTCATGGAAAATGCGCTGAAGTTACTCGCCTTAGGGCGAAAACCTTTTTACTTGTTTTACAATTCAGTTTTTACATCGCCAGTGGATGTGTCTCCTCTAGACGATCTTTCCGCCCTTTAAGAGTACCCTCCTCTGACACGCCGTTCTGCAGCTATTTGCACTGACAGTTTTGACACCAGTGGATATGTTTCGTCCAGACGTTCTGCTTTCCCTTTATGAGTACCCTCTTCCGACACTTCGTTTTCAAGATATTCGCTTCAACTTCACCAATACATATTGTAACCTAACATTTAATCACGTGCTTTATTTATTAATACTAATTAACAATAAATTTATAACAATCTTAAAGTGAATTAATTTATAACAATAAGTATTATTTATCATTCACAATTTAGAACATAACTCAAGGGCATCGAAGTTGGAACTCAACTGAATCATAATTTCGGAAACATTACGTCACAATCGCCTTCGTTCTTTATCGCCGATGACTAATCTCTCATGGCACCTCGATGTCTATAGAAATTTCTGGAATGTTCGTTACAATATGTTTCGCCCAGACGATTCATTTTGCACGTTGTCTTTGTGAGTACTCTCCTCCGACAAACCGTTTTCGAGATACTTAGATCTGAAATGTCAAAATTTAAATTTAAATCAATTTTTAGCGAAAAGAGGATCAACACGTAGTCAGAGAAACTTATTAAAATCAAAACGGGCTTCCGCAGAAAACACGGAGCTATAATTGTTAAGTGAATCAACACACATCATGGTAATTATAATTCGATTGTATCGAAAACCAGTAGGTAATCAAACGTTACATCAAAGAGTCGTCGAAAATAGAAAAAAAACTACCTTTTGTACTACATATCACAGCGGCCTTTTTGAGCTCAAGAAGGGCGCTTTCTGTCAATCTGTAACAGATAACAACACAAATAAACAAATGAAAGGGGTAGTGAATAGCGAGGCACATAAAATATGGCGAAAGCAATGCTAACGTCTGACACTCGGGTAATCGGATTCTAAACCGTAATTAATACTCAATAAGAACCAATAATTTAATTTAGGTTAACTAACCAAAAGCAACATCTTGACTCGACCACGGATTGAAAACTACTACGATGTACAAATAAGTAAATTTCTATTCAAAAGCAATGCAATCTAATTAATTAAAAATCTAAATCAGGAAATATGCGCAAATTCTTCGAAGTAAATCAAGTAATAACGTGACTAAAAATTGTAGATCGGTCTCGGACCAAGTGTCGGCAATTCATTTACAAAGCAACGGTTGCTAATATCGGTTAATAAATTAATATAAAGGATACGAAACGTAGTTAAGCTAGTACAAATGAATCCTCGGAGTAAGGAGCTATAAATTAAAATTAGGTGGTGATGTTGGCAGAATGAGGTAAAATCGTGATGTAATCAATATGACGACAGAATCTTCACTAAAAAGGAAGAAGTACAGCGAATACGTAAGCAGAAAGAAAAGAAGGGTTGGGGTTGGGATTAGAAATACCATGGAAAACATCTACGTAACCTCGGGCGGCGAAAGAAAGAACTATTGTGATAAGAAATCTATACCACTCGGATGGCCTCTAGTGGCGAAAATAAAGAACTAAGTTAACAAGAAACCTAACTTTCATCTTATTAAACGGGTTTACAACGGAAATACCTAGATGGCGTAATAATTTAAATTGGTAAGGAAAAAACATAACATACCTAGCAGCTGTTTTTAGATAACTTTTAATTTTGAAAGAAGAGGCCTTATTTTCAACAATGCCCCTTTTACTAATTTTCAACTGCTGATAAGTGTTGCTGGGGTAGATTGAAAGCACAAGTGGAATACTTTAGAAATCCCCATTGACAATTGATTTATCGCATGCAGGGGAATGTCCATGAACCTAGCAGAGCAAGGTCAGCAGAACACAATCAAACATATTGCATAATTAGGTGCTAATTATGTACCCTATTCCCGAATTAAATGCTAGTTTTTTTTTAAATTATGCCAGGTTCATATAAACTCAGCAGGTCACTACCTCAACAAAAACCAAGAAAATGAAAAGGGAGCTAACTATAATTAGGTGCTAATTAAGTGCCCTATCCCCGAATTAAATGCTCCTTTTTCTTAAATTATTACATGTTCTGCCAGGTTCATAATTTTAAAAAAAGGAGCATTTAATTCGGGAATAGGACACTTAATTAGCACCTAATTATAGTTAGTTCACTTTTCATTTTCTTGGTTTTTTTGGCGTTGCTCTGCTGAGTTCATATGAACCTGGCAGAATATGTAATAATTTAAAAAAAGACTAGCATTTAATTCGGGAATAGGGCACTTAATTAGCACCTAATTATGCAATATGTTTGATTGTGTTCTGCTGACCTTGCTCTGCTAGGTTAATGGACATTGCAGGGTACCGAGAACGTAATGACCAATTTCATCATTTTCAAGGTAGAAAAAGGTGGTTTTTTCAAACGTGACACACTGTATATTATTTGAGGGCCGAATGCAGAATTTGATGATGTCTCTGTATCTATTTTTAACGGGTTTCTATTTGATGCATATTTTATACGAAAAGCGAATGAAGCTCCAAAAAGTCCTAGCTCACAGATTCGTGTGGTACCTACTTACAGTTAGCGAATAGCGAATGAATACATAATAAAATTCTGCATTCGACTGTCACATAATATACAGGATGTCGCATTTGAAAAAACCTTTTCAACCTTGAAACTGTATGATAAATCAGTTGTCAATGTGAACTTTGAAAGTGTTCTTTTTGTTCCACTCGCACCGCCTATCCCAGAAGCGCTTACCGGCAGTAGAAAATGGATAAAAGACGCATTGTTGTAAGGTTTTTTAAAAATTCACAAAAAACCAACCTATCTAAAAGCAGTTGACAGTAGATAAAAAAACCTAATAGCACTCACAAATTCAAAAATTAAATAACAACTGGATGTTCCAAGTTAAAATAAGAAAGTTAATGACGGTTTCCGGTGTAAGTCTTATTCAGGAAAACTTCTGAGTGGCTACCACCACAAACCCGATTTACGCCTATAATTATGCCATCTTGTCATGCGACGAAAATAACTAGTATACGCAACTATGTGTCAAATTTTAGAACTTTTCAGGAGGATTTTTCAAAAGAAAATCCCCTTATGTGATGATTTTGTCTGTCCGTCTGTAACTCAATAACGAAAAGAGAAAGGATCAGTACTATTGAATGTGAGCCGGATTAAAAGTCGTGTTTATGAATGCGAGCAGAGTGCCAAAAAATTCCCAAGACTCCCTTCCTAAAAAGAAAACTGTATAAATGTACTGACATCACTCATCGACTGTCTGTGTGGAGCCGGCATTTATCTTAAAACTAGCCTTAGGGAAAACACATTGCTAAAGATGCAAACAATTTGTTATTAAAACACATAAAAATAGACAAGGCGTTCCTTTAAAAGGAGCGAGTGTACTTTGATAGAGTAACAGTACTTACATTTTGGGTTACCCAATGTTCATTAAGTGTTAAATTGTAACGCTGGGTCTCGGAAGTTAATAATGTTTAACCCTTTCACAACTTTATGCAGAAAATTGTGCCGTGTAAAAAGTGATCCTCGTAAGTTGTACTTTAAGTTTTAGGGTAAGGAAATCCTCTTAGTAGTCCATTTCCTAAGTTTTACTTCGGCGAACGTGCGCATAGATGATAAATTAGATCTTGTTATGCGGGTATAACACTTACCTATGTAATAACTTATTACAGGTTGGATTTTGTACAAATGAACCTCGAGAAACCGAACGATAATGGACAATGTGCAAATGGTTCATTTTCCGTAGTCAACTTTAATAATATCCCAACAATATGCGGAACTAATAACGGACAACACAGTAAGCTATTTCGTACCAGGATGATATGAAAAGTTCCCGGTCGTATACAAACCTTATTATTGTCACACACGGACCGAGCACATTTCACATCGCCATTGTAATAAAAGTAATTATAAATTAATACTCAACGTTATACAGTGTACGTTCACATAACTGGAGGTCAACCAAACAGTGTTACTCTTAACATTCAGAATCCAACAGTGAGCAACAGCTGGTTAATAAAAGTAACGCAACTGTACTGCCCCGGTACGAGTATTTTGCCCTTAGGCTTAGGACAATACAGAGATATGGCCCAAGATTTCCCAATGTTAGGTAAGTAATTGAAATGTTTCGATTTGGATAATAAACATTTACCTCAGCTCCTCCGGGTTGCCTGCAGTACAACACAGGACGGACAGGAAATTTCAGTTCGTTTGGATATTCAAGCGGTGACACCTCATCAAAATATAGTGCCGGACAAAGGTACACCATTTGCTTCAAAAACCCAGATCCCGTACGAAACCAGTGCATGAAGTAAGGCATTTGAAAAATTCCCACGAATGCTTATTAATACTATTGCAGATTTGTTCTACAAGAATTTAATTTAGCACAGGACACATTTTTGTTTGTGGTGGGTGGTACTACACCTGAACGACTCACTGGGACGGGCTTGACCACGAATACGTTCTACAGTAAGTTATGCCTATTTTCGGAAATCGTTATGTTTATCACAACGTGTTTATCCAACTAAAATTTTTTGGCATTTGAATCCTTTTTGTTGCTGTCATTCTCGGTCGATCAACCACCATTTTGTAAACGTTAACGTCCTTGTTCGGAAACATGTATTGTTACTTTAGCGGTAGCGGTAGTCAAAATGTCGCGTAAAAATGTGTCGTTTATTAATGAGAATTGTTAGGGGTGCACACATTACTGTCTCACAATGAGCAACTTGTACAGCAGCGAATTCTGAAGAAAATACAAAGCTGTATTTGTAATATATTTGATTCGCAAGAAATAACGTTAGAACTATATTACTTTGTAATCAGCCTGTAGAAGCTAAAAGAATAAGAGATCTGCGAGTCTCTGGCTGGAGTTTTAAACACGCCCTACAGTATTAGTGCCGCAACTCTCAAGTGAATTGCCATGCTTTAACTGAAAGTAACTGCCATCCTAATTCAAAAAACATCACTCCAAACAACGCGCCAAGTCATTCCTTTTTGTTCTTGTACAATTTTCAGTAAAAATTCGTGTTCCACAGGGTGGGGCATAATGAGCTCTGCTTCTACTATGTGAACCCCAGTCTCTGCAACCTGGTGTTGAAATGGGATCCAGAAATACGAAGTCAAGGAGAATTTTGCCTGTAGTGACCTTGTTGATAATACTAATTTTCACATTTTTCCTTGGAAGATAAAGGACGACGTTGTGTCACATCCCTTAAAGGCATCGAGATGGAATTTGCTGCGGCTGTACACTAGTATTTCTTCATGTTGTTTCCCAGGTTTGATGAGGAATACATTGTAAATCGGCTATTCAACAACAGTTGAGTTACAAGTAAGCAGGATCAACAGGTTATCTTTGCCCAGGTAATAATTTGGAACTAGGTTCTCACTGTTATTTTGCCAGTAAAAAACACTCAAAAAAAATAGTCTATAAAAAGGTTTGATAGCCGGTAGGTGAGGCCCTAGAGTCCCTATATTGATATAGCGCCGCAGTAGATTCAATAAAATGTGAGGTTGGGAGGTTTTAGAGGGGAAAAATCGTATAGTAATGGCTATTTCATTTTGTCTACCTCTCCCTCTATCAATGTCTTCAGCTGCTAGATATTGATATGAAATGCTGGTAATGGATTCACTACACTCAATCTTGTAGAATTACTCATGTTACTTTTTGTTTCCACCATTGTGGCTCCAATAGCTATCTTGGTTGTGGTTCCCACTATAATTTGAGTTTGCGGTTGAAGTTGATAGGTCTTTTCACTCTTAAGAATATATATGGAAAGATAGTGATCAGTTCACATTCCTGATACTACTCGTTCGAGAGCTTGTTTCCCAAATCTAGCTAGATTTCAAGAATCACTTTGTTCTTAGGAAGGCAGACACTAGGTTAAACAGGTATAGTTTTTATGCTAATTACAATTCAGTTTAGAAAATGTGAATATTGGGGGTTCGATTTAGAAGTTATACAAGGTGTTGATGTAAATATGGAAGGGGCTAATTCTTTGGCTTATTTTATAACTTTCATATAAATATAGGTCCTCAAAAGCTTCGTTACCGATCTATAGGGTGCTAAAGTTTCAAGATTTTTTAAGTTTTTTCTTTATACCTCCTGCAGTTTTTTGCTCATATTTGAAATATAAGTTGCGCTTACGTCATTGGTCATGGCCTCGGTCATGGCAATGGTAGCGATGATTCTACAGGGTGACGTTTTTTCAGGGGCCATGTTCCATTTTCTGCCCCTGGACTTTTTTCTTTTTTCTTTCTTAATGATGACACGTAAACGAAAATTGTTGAAAAGAAAATTTATAAAAAACTCTATCCATGTAAAAATCCAATATAACTCCAATTTAATCAATGAAAGATGTCAGTATTCATCATTTTGAACAATATTTTGACTTCACTGTGGATTTTGTCCTATTGTATTGTTCTATTGTATTATGTATTATGAGTTTTATATTTAACGAGATATTTAGTTTTTGGGAAATCGGTGGCTTTCGATTTTTTTGTAAATAACTTGATTATTAATACCCATGCAATCCCAGTCAATATAAGATCCTGTATAAATTAAAAAGAAAATAGATTGCACCTTAAAATTAATTTATTTAATAAAACGATTTTTCATAGCTGTTAATATTAAACCCGAGATTAAACCAGTTTCGACTGTAGAAGTCGGTCCCGACTCGGGCTAAATAAAAACGCAAACAAATATCAGAATGGGCAATCCACTTTGAATTTCATGTACATTTTTGTGATGGATCTTTCGTTTAAATTTCCACGCTTTCTTCCTTCCTCAACCCCATTTGGGGTGTTCTGTCCTGTGTTAAATTTGCCGGGGGTTACTTTTAAAATTACAACTTTGTTCAAGAATTTGGGTTAAATGGGCTTGTCTTGAATTCTTTTAAGATCATTTTTGGGAGGTTATTTTCTGTTCATTAAATAAAATCAGTTTCAGACAATCGTTTTGAGTGTTCTATCCGAGGTTCTATCTAAAATTTTGGAGTTTAGTTATAATGCTTGGACTATCTATGAGTATAAAAAATGTTCAAAGCGCCAAATTCCTTTAAACCTATAACATTTCCTAAAATTCTCACTATTTTAGAGATATGGCCGTTTGCACCGACAAATTTAAGCGGAGCGTAGCTTAAAATCCATGGCAACGATTATTGAGACAATGGTTACCATGGATTTTAGCTAAGGTCGGCTTAAATTTGTCGGTACAAATGGGCATAATACAGAAACCCTTTTAAACGCCGCTTATGGAACCATTCCCTTTGGTTCAAAATAATAAAAGTGAATGAAAGAATTGTAATTTCTACATTTATTTAACAGTATACAGCAGATAAGATATTTAAAAAAGCGGCGTAATTAAAGTTGCGTTCTGTAGGCGTTTAACTCCCCATCCAAGCGAATTATTTTATACTCGTAATCATAATTTCCACGTTACATACATCTCGCTTTACAAACGCTCAATGATCTCAATGGGTCTTGGTCTACTGCATTTTTAAATTCAGAAAATAGAGAAACTTGGTAATCATCAAAAAGTTACGGCGACTGGATGGTTTGGATAAAATTTTACTGCAGTGTGCAACATTGACTACGTTAAACTATAATAGAGACCGGATTTCATGCTATTTATGCATTACGTAAATATTGTATGCAGCTCAAAATAAAACAATAATTTACACGAACTAACAAAAATGAATCACATTGGCGCAATGAAAATGGGGCATATTTTACATTTTTCGGGTTTTTGTGCATATTTAAGAAATATTAGCATTGCATTAACTTTTTAAACCATTTTGATGGCAAAACAAGTTTCCAGCTGTAGTAATTGCAACAATTATATTTTTATTTATAAATTAAAAAGATAAACAAATAATAAATCAAATAAAATAAAAATTATAAGATAGAAACAGAACAAAAGAATACCATAAAAATAGAAAAAAAATAAAAAGAAAAAACAAAAAGAAAAAGAAAAGAATAAAAAAATAAATAAAATACAAAAAAAATTGGGCGCCCAAGTTTGCAAATTATCAAACGTCGGCGGTGTTCAATTCAGCATTAATTTATAATGCAAGCACATTTTCAAGTTCAACAAATGAGATCACGAATGTTGACTGGGGAAAATGTTGAATTAAAGAAATTTCAATGTTTTTTGTGCGTTATTTAATTTTTCATGTATCTTCATGCTTTTTTGCCATATGTGCATTTCTGATTTGTTTTCATGTATATAAGTCCGGTCCCTACACATAACACAGGTTTTAATAACACCGTCGTTATCTCGGTCTTATTAAAGCCTTCGTAAAACAACGTGTTAACACCACTTACGCCGGTTTTACTAACACAAGTTTTAGTAAAGCTACGCCGCGCCGCCGTTGGACAACGGGTGTAGCGTTACTAAAGCCGGCGTTAGCAAACGTGTGAACACTTTTCGAATATAACATCGGTTTTAATCGCAATACCGACGGAATTGTTATGGCTTGTTTTCCCCTGTTCCTTTCAAGCTCAAATCTCGATGGTAATTTTAATTATTTATTGTTGTTAGTAGTGTTTGGTGTTAATAATACCGTTATTTTAAACCGTTCTTGACAACACCACTTCGTGTAAACAGTCAGCGGAAACCGTTGTTAAAAGCCGATGTTGTTAAAACCTGTTGTTATTTTATCGTGTAAACGTAGCCGTTTCGCTACCTGCCAGCTGTACAATAGTATGCCGTCACCATACCACCCAAAAGAAACTTATTTCGCTAGCTCAAATTACACAATTTAGTTTTTTTTTCTTTTTAAATTCTCCCTCATGGCACAACTGGGTCCCCAAACAACAAGAAAATTCTAACATTGATTAAAATTCTTATAAACTTGAAGGCCTCAATCAAATCCCGTAAATTCCAACAAAATCACTACTAAAATTTTGAATAAACCGAAAATAACATTCGGAAAACAAGAAATTAGAAAAATATGACATATAGAAATAAAACTCTATTTGGATTTCAAATTAGTATTTGAATGAAACACAAAAAAATTACAAGATTTTATTCTAACACACATCATGAAAAAAAAATGCACAAGAATCCTGTAAAAAAATTCAAGCCTAACAGTGCCTTTTGAATACAACACACCCTCTTTACAAACGGTCGATCTAAAAACAAATTAAGAAATCTCACAAATTAATCACAACAAAAACAACTTACTTTTAAAACACCACAACTGGCTCGAAGACAATAACGCTTAACTTGGTGGCTGTTCGGACGGTAAGACTTCTCTTATATAACACTAATTGACTTCATTCCTGATAACACAAACTTTCTTAAACTCAAAATTCCATGCGTAAAAACTTCTTGCACAACATTAAACTTGTTTCCGCATTATTTTACTAATTTTTTATTAAATTGCGTAGCCGGTTGGATTACCGATACCAAAATAACCGTCACAAACATTTCTGCTCTCTTTCAAAATGATCCGAGACAGCCACGTTTATTCTTCATTCTCCCTATTTAAGCAAAAACCACTTCACGTAACTAATTCAACATCGTTATTAACGCAACGACACTCGAAATTCCTCTACGCTACCAGAACTGATAAAACACCTACATCGCTTATCTCGCACGTAACATGTTTGTCGAAAAACCAATTAAATCGTGTCCGATACCAACTTTTTATCAACATCTGACCAGGTAAAACTTTAAACTCCCGTAAAAAATTCGATAAAGTGTTCCCTAAGTTGCCCGTTTTAAATTTATCATACAAACTAAAAACAACAAATAGACTTAAATAAATTAAACAATTACCGATTAAATTTATAATAATAAACTAACATTAAAAAGATGTTTCCGTCTGTGTCTTTTTGAAAAAGATCTTATGAAATAACTTGAATTATGTTACATATAGGCTGTCCTGACTGTTACTTTCGAAATTCAGACGTTAACAAGATGTATTTTTACACTACAAGGTAGTTCGCTCTCACCTCTTATCCCTTTCAATAATGTCAACCAATCAGGTGTCAAATGTCAATCTCTGTTTAAACGTCAAAATGACCATAATTAATAGTTATTTATTATACAAGTCGGTAAAGGGATGTTTTAACCATCGAGTGAGTACTGATACTTCACGAGTGGCGCAGCCACGAATAAATTAACTTTCACGAGCTTCTTGGTTTCCCTTTATCGTCAAGTATAATATAAAAGTTTATTTCATAGTAGAAGCCATAGAAATCATTACAAAACTTCTGAAAATTCTGAATTTAATTTAAACCTCAACAATAGCGATTGTCACGTCGTTTCCATGTAAACAATATTGTTTTCTGTCCTTTACCACATTTTATTTCGTGTTTCGCGTCCCATTTTCAATAAAAATACCAGATGTCATTCGGATGCACAATTATTTGTTTCTCTTTGCCGTTATAGTGAGCACTTTATCTACTCTTACTGTTAAAGAGAGATTCATTCAAACCTATTAAAATGTCAATTTACCATCTGCTATAAAATAAAATAAAATACAACCTTCATGGAGATATGACGTCAGACATTGCTACGCTATATTCAACCTCTCTTATACAAATTTCACTCATCCTTATGTTCGAATTCCAGATTTTGAATATCACCACTGTAATTCCTTGCAATACGTCAGGAAGTTTTGTTTCACGCAGAGTCGTCTAGTGCAGCGGTCTTAATAGAGAATCCTATCTTACTGATTGTGCGTTGTTTATAGCTTCCCTTCCATTGAATAAATATTGTTTTTATGGTTGTTTAGGTAACCTTTATACTTAAACAGATAAATATTATAGATCAAATACTTTTTGTTTGATGGTCCGTAAGGATTAAAACGTTGGCGACCGCTGGTCTAGCGTGTAGGTTGGAACGATCGGGAGCAAATGTGATGATATGTATATATTGTATATTAATGTAAATGATTTACACAGCGTACCCGGGTATCTACTCCGTGTACTTCCAGTCCGCTGCGCCACCGAACGGCATCCCTATAGGTCAGGGATTTCTAATATCTTACGATACGAGTGGATCTGCACCAAATTGTGGAAGTTCAATCGCTTGAGACAAGATACTTGTTCATTTATTGATTACGTTGTACCATGATTATTAAATTGTTAACTGAAAGTTTGCGTTGTTGTTTGTAACATTCCTACACACACACACCTGACACCAGTGTAAAACGTAAATCCTGGTTAGGGCGGATAGAGATCAAATGCGTGTGAATGTATTCAATGCTGAAAGATTCTCATCGGGAACTGCGCCATTAGACTACAGCATCAAACACCAAATGCTTGACGATAAATTAACATGTAAGGTGTCAACCGCCTTGAACAACGAAGATTTGAGTTTAACATTTATCAACTTCAGTCGAATAAACCCCTTTAATTATCAGTTTGGGGAAAAGCGGGAACCAAGCTTGGTTCTCTTATGTGGCTACTATAACGATCGTCCACTATCTTTTGCAAAACCCTTAAAAGTCAGCGGAAAAGGTGGAAAAGCGTAGAAAAATAAACAAAGGTGAAGTCATCAACCTTAAAAGCAAAGCGGTCTCTCTGCCAAGAGACACACCTGTCACATTTTTGGTTATCTCTTGAGGCAAAAAGATCTACTTCTGGTACTCCAAGATGGAAAGTCACTAAATCAAAAGCGTTTCGGATGGCAGACTTGTCTGTCAGCTCTCCAGTTGTCTGGTGAGCTGATATAAGAAGGCAGGAACCAGAAGTTCTGCTTCTCGCACCAACCCCAAATTTCTGTTCTTACACATCACTCGTATATTTGATTAAGGGTTGGATTTTAAGCTATTAAGCGGATGCGGACGGTGCGCTTCGACGGAACGGCCCTGATGAAAAAGTGAAGAAGAAGAAGTCTTGGACCTTAAAGACGGTCGATCTTGATCTTGGATCACGCGCGGAAGGTCAGCCGGTCGGGGGAAAGGAAAAAAGGTCAAGTTCTCCTTAGTCGCTTTCGTCTAATCACATCCTTTTCAAACACGAATGTCCTTGACCAACCCTCTCGCGTGTTAGAGAACTAAACAGAGCAAATTTGCGAAAAATGCATTTATCTCATTTTTAGCGCATTTTTGCAAATTTATTTGTAAAAAGTAGCTTTTAATCTCATTTTGGCTGGCTGGCTGGCAGCAAATGTGAGCGCGTAGAAGAACTCTTGTAGAAAGGCAACGGGTGTACGTGGCCGTGTAATTTGTCAACCTTAGGGACAGGGCTACATGATGTGGGGTTGGAGACATCTGGGCGTCATCCTCGAGCATAGTTTACTAACGTGAAGGTTTTTCAGTTTTTTCCTATCTTCTACTACAGTTTTGGTCCGATTCTTTTCAAATTGGTGTCGTCGGAAAGATGTAAACGTGCACAACTCCTGCGTGGCGGAATTTTGTTTTTTGTCCTAGGGGCGAAATTAACGACCTTTTGCAAGGCGCGCGCGCGTCTTCGAGAGGTAGTCTACTTCGGGCGCCTTTTACGTTCCGTTGCGAAATCCACCAAAATGTGGGTGCACCGAAAAAGGAAATGTGGTAGCCTCCGACAAGATATAACTAAAGGTGGAGTCAAATCTTCAAACGCGAATTGCGGGTGAACGGGACTTCGGAAGTGGGTACCGTCAAAGGGAATACATTCGCATGTAGCATCACGTAAGTATTGTGGATTTTGGAGGACTTTTTGAAATTCAAGTCAACGGAGCCATATGTATGTACAGGGCGCCAAAGAGAAACAGTCAAATGTCAAAAATTTTGAAAAATCTTGAATAACTTGTAGGTATAGGGAAATGTGGTATCAAATGACGTATACTTGAAATCACGAATCTTTGTCCCTGCGTCATTGATTTGTGAATCAATTTCAGACAAGTTTTTTATCGATTTCGCATACTTGACAGATATTACAGTGTTTTAGCGTATGTCTGAAATTGATTCACAAATCAATGACGCAGGGACAAAGATTCGTGATTTCAAGTTTACATATATTTTCATGTAGATTTCGAAAATGAAATAAAATATTTTTGAAAAAATAGTAAGTGCAAAATTGTGGTTATTTTTGAATAAACATGATGTGGTATCAAACCGCTAGCATGGTTTACGACCTGGATGTTCGACAGAATCCTCCCATTTTCGAATTCGCCCAGCACCTGTACAAGGAGCATAGTGACCCTCTAGTTCGACCTAACAAGTGCGTTCGACCGCGTAAACAAACAAATTGTATGTACGAAAATCGAACGGTACGGTATCATAGGAAATATAAAGTACTGGATACTCTCCTACCTTACTAACAGGACGTTGAAGGTAAAAATCAAGGCCACGTATTCTGATACAACAAACATATCCCTTGGAACGCCGCAAGGAGAATATTCAGTGTTCAGGGTGTTCAGTTTACAAAAGGTGTTACGTCTAATTTTTAACTTGAAATACAATGAAACATGCAGAGTTGTATTTCGAAATTACAAAATTCTTAGTTTCTTCTCGATCTATGTCTTGTCTTGTGTCTTGTATGTGTTTCGTATGTGAACAGATGTAAACATCACCTCATAACCCATAAAGATCGTACATGAATTGGATACTCGACACCGGGAACACCTGCGACTGGATAGCCAACCAACTCCTTCTATAAGAGGTTACCAGGATATATATCACCTAGTTATATAACGCTCTTCCCGCATCTGTAAAATCGGCTGGGACGCATTCACAATTCAAGAAGAGGGTCAAGGATTTTCGTACGTCAGGTGTCTTTTACACCAAAGAGCTATTGTGTTACCGCTCTAAGGTCAACTTATAATTTTTTGTTATTGTGATAACTATTATAAATAGATTTATCAATAAACTGACTTAACTTGACTTGAAAATAAGAAAGTCGCTATCCACTTTCGGTACAACCGATGATAATATTTTCTTTCAATAGATCATGAAAAACTATGTTGGTATGTAAATTTGCAGATTTAAATTGTTAATGGGAGTTTGAATACTTTCAGGTAACGGTATGCGTCTGTAGCGTTTTGTTACAAAATACAGGAATAGGAACTATTTTTATTTTGAAACATGAACAGAATGAATAAATTATTAAATTTGTAGCACCTAGACAACCTATATTGTTTTCCTAGGATGTACCGATTGGCGTTAATGGTCGCCACAGTACTCCCCTAGCGTCCAATTTCGATTATACCGTGCTTGGAAAATTCTTGAAAAAGTTTTAGCTGCCCAAATAGTAGACTTTTTGGCAGAAAACAACTTATTAACTTCAAGTCAGTTTGAATTTAGAGGGAATTGTTCTACTACTGGCGCATCTCTTACTTTATAGCATTTTATATTAAATGGTTTTGAAGGAGGATTATTCACTGGATCTACTAAAAGGTTGTGGGACAATTCGCGCCCGGAAAATTCGCTCCCGGATAAATCGCTCCCGGACAATTCGCTTCTAGGAAAATTCGCTCCCGGACCATTCGCGGCCGGATAATTTGCTCCCGGACAATTCGCTCTCGGACAATTCGTTCTCGAACAATTCGCCCTCAGAACATTCGGTAAGACCTATAGTAAAGTGTAAGCTGCAGTATTATTTTATTTGGATACGAGCAAAATTCATCCTAGAAACATTTTACAAGGTGTAGATGGTGTATTAGGTACACTGTATGGGTATTGTATAAGAAATTTTTTTGTATCAATAACCAATGTAATCTGTATAGAAGAATACATTCTGTAGAATACATTGTGTAGTGTTAAAAAGGAACATCTACTTAATATTAACGTAACTTAATATTAAATTCACTATTAACTGACTGGTATAGTATACCAATCTTCGCTCAGATCTCGGACAACTTAGATAATTAGTTTGTACAGAAAAACGTTTTGGTGTTTAGAACCTAAAATGATATACTTAATATAAAAATAAGAATGGAATTAACGTAAAATCAAAAATCAAAAAAATCGTATGACACTTGTATCATATTTAGAGCGTTCCTCCCTCCCCCACTCTTCCCCTGAGATAAACAGACATAATTTTGCCTCAGTGAAGTCATTGAATAAAATTTTTTATTCAATGGTGCAGTAATAAATACATGATGAGATTGGTTTATGAAATAATTGATCAAGGAAATTAATTAGATTTGCTCAAAAAATCAAGAGAAGTCGAAAACAGTTAATTTTAGTTCAAGTAATCGATTTTCCAGCATTAACTTAAAAGAAGAGCCACCACCTCCTATTTTATTTGAGAGTATTTCGCATTGAGGATAATAGCTCACCATGATGAAGTCTTTGGGAAGTGAAGTGTAATGATATGAGTCTAATCGCACATCACATCTAACATTTACATAATATCACTATGTGAGTCAATACAAGATCGTACAGGCTTGCCACTTACCAGTCGTATCTATTTAACTTCTGATGGCGGTGAGCTATAAAGTCTTTATTGTACCAATATTATGGTACACACATAAAAAAAGCAGGTTGTCAGCTTGCTGGTTTTTCGGCACCGGATGTGAGCGCTTGTAAATCGATAAACGTGCACAGAAGAAATCCAGATAAAAAAGAAAAATATGACAAGGAATTGCCAAAAATTGATGCATATACAATACTTCTGCAATGACTTCCGAGCGAATGTGCATAAGATTTAAAACATTAACACCAGCCCCTTGCTTGGCAATCAGATTAAGAAATTATTAGAAAAACCTACTAACACTCTTGATAAAGGATTCTACGGGAGCGAATTATCCGGGCGCGAATTATCCTGAGAGCGAATTATCCGGGCGCGAACTGTCCGGGAGCGAATTATCCGGGCGCGAATCATCCGGGCGCGAATTGTCCGGGCTCGAATCATCCGTGCGCGAATTATCCGGGCGCGAATTGTCCTGGGAGCGAATTGTCCGGGAGCGAATTGTCCGGGTGCGAATTATGCGGGCGCGAATTGTCCGGGAGCGAATTATCCGGGCGCGAATTGTCCGGGAGCGAATCATCCGGGCGCGAATTGTCCGGGTGCGAATTATGCGGCGCGAATTGTCCGGGAGCGAATTATCCGAGCGAGAATCGCCCTGTGAGCGAATTGTCCGCACACCGATTTGAGTAAGGCCTTTGACTGCCTCTCGCACTCCATTCTTACAAGGAAACTGGAATACCTAGATTTCGGTGA